GTGACACATCTGCTGCTGTCAGGCCTGCAGGTATCAGGCTGTTGTTCTCCTTCATCTCATAGTGGACACAAATTATTTTTGGAGCGGCACAAATAATCTGTGTGGCATCAGATTTGATGCAGAACAGCTGATTGTTCTGTGAATAGTTTGAAATATTTGTTTTTAGGTAAACAGCTGCAAAACACATTGTTGTTTGCAAAACTCAGTTACTTTTTTGAAGAAGTAACTATATAGTTAATTACCCAACATTGGTCTTTATTTACTGTATTTGCAGACAGAGTTACAGACTCTCTCCCAGACCACAGACTCATAATACAGTCAGAGCTTTATAAATATATATAAAAAAAGAAAGTTGTGTTTTCAAAATTGGAGTTCAAGTAATTTTTACTTCCAACAGTGTTAACATGCTACAGGTCATGAACAAGATTCTTTTTCATTTTCATTGTAAGTGGGATAAAGCAGTTAATTAAAAGTCGTCTAACATAAATGCTGTAATTTGATTACTTTAATAAACATGCAACTTGGATGGATCGGATGCTGGCGTGACTACAGTGCACACGTCTGCTGTTGCTCACAGCGGTCCAAGAGACGCTCAGGGAGTTTGTGTGTTCGTTCAGACACGTGAAACATTAGAGGCAACATTGCATGAGGGGAAGGTAAACTGGCGGTCTGACAAAGGGAGCTGAAGGCAAGGTACACAAAACAAACACAAAATAAAGCAGGAGGAGTGAAAACTGAAGAGGGAAAACACATATTCATAAACTTAATACAAGAGAACTGTCACCAGAAGGAAGGACACAAAACAAGGAATAAAGCTAAGGAAACTAGGAACTGAGAACTAAATACACTAAGGACTTCCTGAAGTTATTATAAACATTACACAAAGCAGCAACCACAATAAGCTTTTCTATTTAAAACAAAAACATCAAAGTGATGCAAAGTGCTGCGTGAACTCACCCAGGACCATGAATAATATGTTCCTCAACACAACTGAGCACTCTCTGTGCATGACATCAAAACAGGAAAACAAGGAAATGTCTTTTGGACGAATGCGTCCACAGAGCCAGAAGTTCAAGTTCCAGCCTAAAGGGACAGAGAATCAGTGCAAAGGAGCCCTGGAGCCGCTGTGGAGGAACACTTACTGTGACATTTTTTAATGTGTGCTCCTTTAATTTGTCATCACTCTGTGTGATAATTGGCATTGTTGCTTTCGTAGTTTCTTTTTCCTCCTAAATTTTATACTCTTATCAAAAGCTTGTAATAAATTTAAACGTTTGTTCCAGGACACATTTGATGTTCATATCCTGATGGCCAGGTCTGTCAAGCACTGCATCAATTTCATGGAAGCTAAAGAAGAGGATTTACTCAGGTTATACACTGAATCATATTTGATGCCTGATCAGAAACATTGTATCTACACCTCATCTATGCAGTGATTATGTCACATTATTGATGATTTAAGATGTGAATGGAATGTACTTATAGGCAGAAAACAGATGATTGGTTATATAAATAAACGAGTCACACCTGAGTAAAAACACAGCGTACATCAGTTAACTCTAAGAATTCCTGTTGGTTTTGTTATAGTGTGCTATAAATGATAGCTTTGCCATTTCATTTTTTTAATGTTCAAAGTTGAATTATTGACTTACTTTATGATTTAATACTTTATTATACTTTACATACTTTACATATGTTACTACTTAATGTTTTACTTTTTCTGGTTGGAAAGTAAGGTGATGCTAGATAGTCCGAACAGAAAAACACAAGTTAATGACATATTAACGAACACTGGATGCCAAAACCTTTGTGTGCAACACTTTTCTTATAATGTTTTTAACTATTTGATGAAAATTGAAAAACAAAATCTGTGTTTACAGAATAGAGATTCCCTTTGTGTTTACTCTGCTCCAGTCTGGTCTGATCCATGGACTTGCCTTCTGGTTTGATGTGGCCTACCTGGGATCCAAGTAAGTAATCCAATGCAAAGATTTAATGAAGGATTTTCAATGCAGACCAAATGGAAGGATGCATGGAACGAAAATATGTTATAGCAACAGAAAAACTTTGATTATTCAAGCACACAGAAAATTTTGATCTGACAAACAAAATATTAAGCCATGTCCCCCTCAATAGGTATATTCACCTGAAGCCGTTCAGTATGGAGGTGATCTCTCTCACTCTCTTTGTAGGGCCACAGTATGGTTCTCCACTGCTCCCACAGAGCCTCTGACCCGCTGGTTCCAGGTCAGATGTCTACTTCAGACGCCGCTCTTTGCCAAGCTTGGACAGACTTTGTCTGGGACAGTCCAACTGGCTGCTAACAACAGGTACAGCTGTGCTGTCCATAGGACTGCATTATCAATAGGGCAAAGAGGGAAAAGCAAAGGAGCTTTAATACCCTGCTTTAGTTCCACAGGTGCTTAAAGTGCTCGAGTTGCCAGTTGGACACGTTTTCACAAGAAAAGAGAGAAACTCACAGAAAAATACATAATCAGCTAATTCAGACTGTCTCGTTACTTACAAATATGAATGATACAATATTTGCCAGTTAATTATCTGTCAGTTGCCTTCCTAATCACTTTTTATGTACCTTTGTGGGCAAATAAAGGCACTTATCGCAGACAAGTCAGTGGGGTTGGGGATCAATAAAGGTTCAACAACAAGTTTTTCCCAGGTTACAGATTTCAACTTGCACCAACCCTTATCTTTCTCACTCCAGACAAAGCTATGACATCCACATCACAGCTACAGTGGACCAATCAGGCTTCAGATCTGGGAACATCCTGGATCTCAAGAATCCTTTCTTCAGGTCACTTCTCTCTACTCTTTAATGCATACATGCTGAATTATTTTGCTATAAAATTTGCCCATGAAATCTTGATTTGTTTCTTTTTGTTTGCTTTCAACTTCAGAAGTTACCCAAGTGGAAATCTTCAAAGTTCATTTTGTCAGTAGACCAAATTTAAACATGAGTACAATTTGTACAGTTCATGTAAGTTCTATGTCCATAAATATCAATCCATCCATCATCTTCTGTTTATCTGGGCATGGGTCACGTGGACAGCATTCTAAGCAGAGACTCCAAGACCTCCCACTTCCCAGCCACCTCCTTCAGCTTATCCAGGGGAACACCAAGCTTTCCCAGGCCAGCTGAGAGATGTAATCTCCCCCAGCATGTCCTGGGTCTTCTTGGGGCCTCCTTCTGCTGGGACATGCCCAGCATGTCCCTTTCAAAAGACTGAACTCCTCACACTCTCTCTAAGGGAGAGGCCAGCTACCCTTTGGAAAAAAATAATTTCTGGCACTTGTTTCTGCGTTCTTGTTTTTCTTTCAGTCACCATCCAGAGCTTGTGACCATAGGTGTGGATAGGGATGTAGATCGACCAGCAAAGCGACAGCTTAGCCTTCTACACTATGACAAACTGGTATAGCCCCAATCGCTCTGTCAGTCTCTTGTTTCCCTCTCCCCTCACTCATGAACAAGACCCTAAGATATTTAACCCTTTGGGGTCCACGGATGCGCCAGCGCATCCAAATCACATGACCAATTTAAGATGACAGAGCAATAAGTTGCAGCCACCCTGAGTCTCCATTTCAACTTGTGTTGGAAATGTGGACTTTAAACTATATACCAGTTTTTAAATTGTGTTGATAGACCAGGTAAAACCAGAGTTATGATAAAAATAAATGTTTTTTCCTGAATACTATCGTAATGTTTACTGCAGGAAGAAGAGCATAAGAGCAAAGGAAAGAGCGAGATAGCAAGTTTTGAAATGTGAGAGGTTTGTGACGTTTAGTGTGTTTGGAGTGTGAAGTTAGTCTGTTGTCTTGTGTAGTTAGTATTTAGTGTAGTTGTCTGTTTTGTTTTGTGTGTCAAAATACCTCCTGCTTCCAGGCCTGCAGGTATCAGGCTGGTTATGTGCTCCTCTGTCTTATGGTGGACAGAAATGGTTTTTTTGGAGTGGCACAAATAATTTGTGCAGCATCTTATTTGATACAAAACACCTGATTGTTCTGTAAATTGTTTTAAATGGTTACAAAAAAAAAAGAACGCCTGATGTCTTGGTTGCATTTTTAGGAAAATAGTTGCATATAACTTTGTTGTCTGCAAAACTTGTGCATAGGTTTTTAAAATGTACAATTTCTATTTTCATTTTTAACAAAAAATAATTCATTAAACATGTTTGTGGTTTTTACAATAAAATATATACATTTTTTACACTGATTTTATGTTTTATGTCTGATTTTAGATCAACTGTGTTAATAAAATTTGTCAAAATTGAAAAAATTGCTGTAAATTCAGACATCTGAGGTTGTGTTGATACCAAACAAGGCAAGATAAATAGTTTTTAAAGGTGAAATATAGAGGTAAAATCAAAGTAGTTAAAACAGCCAAGTATACCCTGGACCTCAGATGGTTAAACTCCTCTACTTGGGGCAGCAAGTCATTCCTGGCCTGAAGTGAGCACTATATACTCTTTTCTGGCTGAAGACCATGACCACCCCAGATCTCTATGTGATGTTGCAGAGACATGTCAACCAAGACAGCCCTACAACATCCAAAGGTTTTGGGGAACTCAGGGGGAACCTTGTCAAACCTAGGGGCCCAGCTACCAAGGAGCTGTTTAACTACCTCAGTGATCACGTCCCCAGTGATGGGCGGGTCTTCCCCTTGTCACTAGACTCTGCTTCCTCTACAGAAGGCGTGTCTGTGAGATTGAGGAGGTCCTTGAAATATTCCTTCCACTGCCCAACTATATCCCCAGTTGAAGTCAGCACCACCCCACCTCTACTGCACAACCATGTAAGGGCAGCACTGCTTTCCCCACCTGCGCCATGTTGCACTTGTACATCAGCTACCTCTGAAATCCCACAAGCTAACCAAGCCCAACAGAACTCCATCTTCAGCTCTCTTTAGCTCTGGTGTCCATCATCTGGTTTTGGGGATTACAACCATGACAGGCACCAACCACCTTGCTGTCAAAGCTCCTTGCAGCTGCTTCAGCGATGGAGGTGTAGAACATGGTCCATTTGTCCCCAACTTCCCCCAGAGTGCTGTCAACGTTTTGCCAGAGGAAAGAGTTGAAGATCTTGCAGACTGGCACCTCTTCCAGGTGTTACCAGAGCACCCTCACTATATATTTAGGCATACCAGCTTTGTCTAGCTTCCTTCTCTGAAACCTGATGCAACTGACCACCTGGCAATCAGTTGAAAGCTCAGCTCCTCACTTCACCCAAATGTACAGAACATGTGGGCACAAATCCAATGATATGATTACAAAGATCAGACATCGACCTGCGACCTATGGCATCTTGGTGTCTCATGCCCTTATGGACACCCCTGTGTTCGAACATGGTCCTTGTTATTCACAAAAGTAAGAAAACCACTCGGGTTCAGATCAGGCAGGTCTGCTCCACTATCTTCACTGTTGCTGTCCATGTTTAGTGTTGAAGTCTCTCAGTAGGATGTTTCTTCAGGCTGTGCCCAGCCAGGACCCATGGGCTAACCTGACCACCAGACCCTCTCCCTTGAGCTCCATCCCAAGGCCTGGCTCCAGGGTAGGGCCCTGGTAACGCTTTGCAAGGCAGGATACACTGGTCCCTTGATTTTATTCTTTCCTTAGGGGTCAACTGAACTGCTCTTTGTCTGGCCCCTCACCCAGGATCAATTTGCCTTGGGAGACCCTTTCTGTTTATAAATAAATAAGATATTTTTTGTCTGTGTATGAAATTACATTTATTTAAAACAAAAGCACTTCTCCTGAGATGGAGATCCAGTGCAGGTAACCTCTGCATGCTGTGGTAGAAAGTAAGTTGATCTTCAAAATCTCCATGTATAAACTACCTTATATGCCTATATGTTGTCAATACAAACAAAGACAAACAGCTTTAAATAGCTTTATATAGGACTTTTATCACTTTGACCCTAGATCTTTCAACTCCAGAGAAGAGGTCAAATGTGACATGATATTTTAAATCTTTATACAGTACTTTCTATATGTTGTTAATACACACCACACTTACTGCATAAGAATTATAGTTTTCAAGCTGATGTATGAGGTTTTTTTCCTGAACAATAAAGCATTAAGTTGGCTGTCACTTGGTGTTCGCTCTCACCTGCGGTAGAGTATCACTTCCTGTTCCTGCTCAAACACAGTGGTGTTTCTGAGTAGCTTATCTGCTTAGCAATTTAATTAAAAACTTTTAGATAACTTCTTTTTTCATAGTATAATCTTCACGTGCGTCATCCGAAGCACACTTTCTGTGTACTCACTACCTAACTTATAGCCAAAGTATTCACTCTCTGTCTCTGTACTGTTTCGCTAGCTTAGCTTAGCTGAGCTCGTAGCCGACTCGTTAGCACCATGGCTACTTCACCTGTCCCTCCTGCACTTTCCTGCTCATTGTGTCAGATGTTTAGTTACTCCTCGGCCTCCTTTAGCAGTAATGATATCTGTAACAAATGTAGCATATTTGCAGCTCTGGAGGCCAGGATTGTTGAACTGGAGACTCGGCTTCACACCCTTCATTCACCCGTAGCTAGCCAGGCCCCTGTAGCTGGTGCAGCCGAAGGTAGCGTAGGCCCCGCTAACTGTTCCCCGACAGACCCCGAGCAGCTGGGGAAAGAGGGCGGCTGGGTGACGGTGAGGAGGAAGCATAGTCCTAAACAGAAGCCCCAGGTACACCACCAACCCGTTCATGTGTCTAACCGTTTTTCCCCACTCAGCGACACACCCACCGGGGACATGTGAAGCTAGAGACACCGGCAACCATAGTCAATTGTCTTCCAAGGGCCAGAGCAGGCGACATTGAGGGAAATTTAAAACTGCTGGCTAAGGGTAAATGTATGTAAATAAGGGTGTTGGAGCTATTTGTTCTTTATTTTTGTTTTTGTTCTTATTTTTGAAATTAGTTAAAGTTTGTTAGTTTATTTATATTTTTGGGGTTTATTTGTTGGTTAATATTTTGTTTCAAATGATTTGTTTTGTTTGTTGTTATTTTGTTAAATTAGTCAGTAGGGGCCATTTTGTTTCTATAAATAAAGAGACTGGTATAGGACCAGCATGCATTGGGGTGGGCCTATGGTTTTTTACCAGAGCAGGAGAAGCAGCAGGAAGGATCTTGTTATTGCTTGCCAAAATGGATAAATAAACCAAAACCAAAACTCTCAACCAAAAGGTTTGGACAATGGACTTCTTTTGCCTGCGTACGAAAGTATTACCTCAATGCAGCAGTGGCTTGTGGACTTTAGGTTGTGGGACGTTTGATCAAACAAAAGTAAAGGAATTGCCACTACATAAAGTAAAAAACCTTCCCGTGGACAAAGGAAAAATCCTTCATTAATGGATATAAGGATTTCAAGGATCACCGTCGAACTCGAATAAAAGTTATTGGATCGTCTGGTGAGTAATCCAGACGGATTTGATGTTGAGGCCTGGATCAACATGTCACTCGTTCATCAAAGCTGGTGAGTGATAATATTGTTTAAGCCGTAAAGGAAAACGGTGAAGCTATTGGAGTTTAAAGACATAATTTCACTACAAAGACTGATGAACTGAGTTTTGACGTAGGCTACTAAATTGGTGCATAATTGGATCGCTAATTGAAACATGCCAACGCCCTCCGTGGAAATGTTTGTTCGCTGCAAAAGGCAGGTAAATGGATGTCATGTTTGTACTTTAGGCTATGGACTCTCAGTGTGCTGTGTATCTTTATGAAGTTTGAAATAATCCAAGAGGACAATAAAAATGTCGGATATTAAGAGTAAACGAGAGGATGACACTGAGATGCAAGCAGAGAAAAGAAGCGTTAGATTTACGCCAAAAGGTTTGGATTTGTATATAAAGACATGCCAAGAAAAGCGCAGTTCAATGTGTAAGCAAGCATCTAAGTACATGGGGAAAATTTCCACTTTAATGACCTCATATGAGAACGTTAAGGAAGTGTCTTCTGAATTTGGGAAGTTTATTAAATGCTATCAAGATGCAAACACTTTGCAAGAATCCTTTTTAAGTTTGTCACTGCCAGAAGATGAAGTGAAAAGGCAAGTTGCACATTTTCAGTCGAAGGTGACAGCATTCTCTGTTTTTATGGACAAAGTAAAGGTTTGGTTGCAGGAGGCGGGCGAGCCGTATACTGAACAAACCAATACTGTTCGCAATGATAAAGCTGTTGAAAGTTTGGATGAAATAAAACCTGAAGACAGTGTCTCTAATATCTCAAGTGTAAAACCACCTTCAAAAACCTTGTCACAGCAAAGTCGAATTTCATCAA